AGTTCCTTTCACCGTATTCCTTAAAGACGTCTAAATGACGTCCCTACACCCTCATCCGCGAAGGCGCCACATCACGGAACACCCGCCGCTGACCAAGAAGACATCTTCACCTGGCGAGCATCGGCCAGGAGACCTCGTGTGATGCAAGCCCCGCCGGCCTGGTTACATAACCCGCCGACTATTGCAAGGCGCCGCCGAACGGTACATCTGCAGTCGTTCAAGAAAAAGCTGTTCACCGGACGTTGACCCCGGCACCACGGCGACATAGACGGTAGCGTGGGTCTCCCGTTATGTCTTACAATAAACGGTAATAAGTTTTCCAGTCCTAAAATTAAACTTTTTTTCTTATAGAACCCTCCCCCTTCGGTGACCACACGCAAATGATATTATTACCAGTATCTATCCATTTATATAAAAACGACATAAATTTCACAATTTATATAAATTCTTACGTAATCACATAAAAAACCCTTAAAACAAATAAACAAAATTTCAAATTTAACTGTTTAAGAAAGGGCTGCCACCCTAATTTCTAGAGGTTTCCACATACTCCCTCAGCTGTTAAGTGCTAGAGCTGCCAACTTTACTCAATTTTCCAAATTTTCAATCAATTTTCCCTAGTTTTACATTTTTACGATTTATGGTTTTTAAACACGCCCGTAGCTCCCATGAACACGTACAAAAAATTTCATCAAAATCGGTCCAGACGTTTACGAGTCTATAGCGGACATACATGGACATTCACAAAAAACAGCTAAAAAAAAACACGCACCGCGCAAAAGCAGGGCAGGGCGGGCTTTTTATATATGTATATAGATTTCAAAAACAAGAATATTTTTTGTCCTATCAAAATTATTATCTTTAAATCTACTTTTTATATATAGAATTAAGAAAGGAATAGATTTCTATAACAAGAATTTAGTCTTAATATACTTCAAATTTATGTAGGTGTTTATCTGAATGCATATATTAATTTTTTCTCTCTCAAAATTAACTTGGAGTTACCTTATTTTTTTTATTTTTTAAAGTATTTATTTTTTCTCTCTCAAAATTAACTTTCAAATACCTCAATTTTTTTTAATTTCAATAAACTAGATTTCCCCAAAACTGTGCTGGAAATAAGTTTACCCATTACTCGATAGTTTTCGACCCTACAAGGTATGAATAATTTGTATCGCTTGTCTGTTTAAAGTAAAAGCGCCGAGATCCCAGGAATTGTAGTTTTGAATATTGACAATGCAAAAAATTGAAATATAAGCTTTTATTATTATTCTTATTATAACATAATCTTTTTATTATAAATATGTATTTTTTAAGTTTTTTTAAACTACGGAGAGATGTGGTGAAAATAACAACTCAAAATCGCACAAGCTTGTCCAATCCATGTTGTTATGTTGCATTTTATTTGTGTACAGATTTATTATGTGTGAAAATACTTTCCTAATACACATCTTCTTCCATGGAAAAATCGGGGGTTTCCCCCGCATAAAGAGAACTGAAAAAAGGTAAGTTTTAACAGTTTGTATAAGTCATGACATGTAGTACATACTTTACTGCACGTTCTTTTATGTTTGTATAAATAAGAGCGTAATCCGGGAACCGCCGACGACTCGTTGAATATTTTTTCCCCTCCTCTTCCCATGCCCTTGCCATGAAACCCGATACGATTTGGCCACACAAACGCATTGACGAAATAAAAGAACTTTGTATTTGTTTACATTGTTGCCATTTCAACTACAATTTAAGATTAAAAAATCAAAATTCAACTACCCAAAGAAACACAGAAAAAATCTTATTAATCATTATACTCCAAACGAATTGATTGATTACTTTGCCCCATGGTTACCATAACATATAAAAAACACACACATACACTAATTATACAATTTTACAGATTCTTATCGTAATACAACAACATAAACATTAATAATTATTAGTAAGACATATATCCACATTTATTTACACGTAAGATTCACTATACACAAAAAGAAATTATTCCTTTTAAGGTATATACACCAAAGAAATATACATATTAAAATTTTTTACATACAATTTACAATATTTTTTTGCACCCCTTCCTATAAAAGCGCATCATATTCACCAAAAATATATAATTCAAAAAATCCATATATATGTAGATACATATATACATATAACTACTAAATCTTTAATTTCGCATCTTCCCATCTAATGTCAAAGAAAACCATAGCCTACCCTTTAACCAACAGAAACTCTATCCTTGTTATTAAAGCCTTTAAAACATTCTTTTGCCAGTTTAGAATACCCAAAAATTAATATTTGACCAGGGTGCCGAGTTCTCTGGTGCCATCTTCAAGGACTTCTTAGCACAATACGAAATAGAACTGCATATTACTCCGTTTCAACAATCAAGTAGTAACTCTATGGTAGAACGGCTACATTCCACCCTAACAGAAATCTATAGGATAATTTTGAGTAAGAGGAAGGAATTAAAATTAACTTTAGAACACGACGAGATACTTTCCGAAACAATAGTAACCTACAACAATGCGATTCACTATAGTACCAATTTAAGTCCGTTCGAACTTTTTAGCGGCCGCACTCATATTTTCAAAAAGACAATCAAATTTGACAATGAACACGATTATTTACAAAAACTGAACGAATTCCAAATTAAACTACACCCTACCTTGAAGAAACACATGGAAGACGCAACAAAAAAACGAACAAATCGCTTAAACGAAAACAGGACAGACCCCCTTGATTTACCAGCTGGTACTTCTATTTTTCGTAAAGAAAATAGGAGAAGTAAAATTACGCCTCGTTTTAGTAAACACAAGGTTTTACTGGATAAAGGGGTAACATTACGAACTATAAAAAAAAACAAAAACTACACAAACAAAAGGTCCGAAAAGCTATAATACAGACAAATGACACATAAACATACTTGCGAGACTTGCATAACTATACCCCCAATGTAATTTTACAGGTTGACCTTGGGAACAACTCAACGCCTCGTTAGCGAGATTTTGGATAAAGATCAACCTCTCATGAAAATTAACCTGGGAACGGCGAGAGTGGTAAAATCATTTAAAATTTTTAAACATATTATTCAATTGAGCAACTACGAAGAAACAGCAACTAAAATACATGAGGTGATAGGAAAACTACCTAACGATCAGGGTTTTGGAGATTTTAAACTCACCTTACATCAAAAATTATCTTCCCAAAAATGGGAAAGGTAGGGCCAGAAGAGGATTAATTAATGGATTAGGCCAGTTAGTTAAAATAGTTTCGGGGAATATGGACGCTTATGATGAGGCAAAAATAAACAAAGACTTAGAAGGCTTACGCGAAAATTCCGAAATAAACAATATTTTCCAAAATGAAACACTTATAAGATTTGAGGAAATAACTAAACACATTAATAAAGAACAAGAGCTTATAAGCAGCTTTATGACTTGCTATCAGAATAAAATTTTTAAACAAATAGATGAGGAACACAAGAACATTCAGTTCAATATATAGACAGGATTATTTTCAATATAGATTTACTTTATAATCACATAAACAATATTGCGGAAAGCCTACTATTTGCTAAATTAAAGATAGTCCCTAAATACCTATTAAATTCAGTAGAAATGAAAAAATAAAAGTATGTTAGCAGACCAAAAGGTAGAAGTTCACTTAGAACATGAATTATATAATGCGCTTTCATTGGAGTCCACCACTATTAATAAAACGCTCATATTTAACATTAAAGTTCCAATTCTGTCCCAACAATCCTACAAATTGTATCAACTCATTGCACTACCGATAAACAAAACAATGTATGTAAACCTACCAAATGTTATAATTAAGAATGATGTAGAAATTAGGATTATAGATACACCTTGCATAAAAGTGGGGGGTACACATGTTTGCGAAACTCCTTCGACTCCGAATAACACGGAATGCCTCAACAATCTTCTGGACGACAAGGAAGCAACCTGCAACACAATAAAAGGGATCGCTTACTCAACAAATGTACCCCACCCGCAAGACAAAGCTTCTTTATGTACAAGATCGAAAATAAAAATCAGTCTAGAACGGACACTCAAAAGCATAAGTTGATCTTAAGCCTCAAGCTTACATTTATTTGAACATAAACCTATTCACGGGGACTTGGACATAATTCGTTCGCACAATCTGGGCTCTCCGTGGGTCGACTTGCCGACATGCAGAAGAGTTTAAACTTTGTCTTCGGGCACCGACATAGGCAGAAAAATCGATGTGACGGGCAGCGTGACCGAAGCGTGGCGTGGCTGCGCTGCTGGCTCGGCGACAATGCTGAGATTGCTTTGTAGTTTTAGACATCTTTTGTATTCCAATAAAGAGCAGTCTCTCAAGGAGAGTTACCCCGGCGGAAGTCGATATATTTCTGATTTGGGTTAGCTTGCTGTAAGGGCACGTAGGGCACGAAGGTAGTTCCTTTCACCGTATTCCTTAAAGACGTCTAAATGACGTCCTACACCCGGTCACCTGCGAGGGCGCCACATCACGGAACGAACGAGCATCGGCCAGGAGACCACGTGTGACGCAGGCCCCGCCGGCCTGGTTACATAACGCGCCGACTATTGCAAGGCGCCGCCGAACGGTACGTCTGCAGTCGTTCAAGAAAAAGCTGTTCGCCGGACGTTGACCCCGGCACCACGGCGACATAGACGGGAGCGTGGGTCTCCCGTTATGTCTTAATATAATTTATATATCTGATCTAGACTCTACACAATGAAATTCGCAGCAATGCAAAAACGCGTCTGCACTCAACTCTCTTGCCTTTGACGGCAGAGAGACCCGAAATTTAGCGTTTAAATTTAAAGGATTTTTTATATATGCGCGGGCAAAATAAAATAATTTTCGTTTAGGTTTGTATTTAAAATTTATTGAAGTGCTTTGGGATATACAATGATTCTTGTTTTTCTATCAGGTGCGTAAACGAATAAATCAGAAAATTTTCCGCGCGCGATCATGCCACATAAAGCTGCCCATGTGAGAAGCGTGGACCAAGACATCCCTGGCGTGCAAACTTTAACCTTTTTTCAATGACGACACCTGGAATACAGTAAGATTTAATTCAATGCATAGTGTTCGTCTTGATTGAACCACTCTTGCTCGAACATTTTGCCGGAGACTTTTCCGTTGTTGATGAATCGCAGACGAAAGGGCCTGCGCATCGCTCCTCGATAACTTTCTAACTTTACTTCCCGTCGTTCAGGTGATTTAGACGAACCGGTCTTAGCGGCATGCACTCGAAGACTTTCTAACCTCAATGCTTGTCTGATTCTGAGGCCCGAAATACCCTTGGCCGTTATATATCGGCCAATTACATTTCGTTTTAAAGAAAATATACAAAAAATTAAGGAAAACTAAAAATTTAAATGAATTTCAAAAGAAATCTTTATAAAACGTTGAATTGCAATTAAAATAAAAACTTTTTAAAAAAAACAAATTTCAATTTTTATAAAGAAATGTACTCAACATATTTAATTAAATTGTTTTTTTTTTAACACAATAAATAGAACAAAAATATAAATATAGGAAAAAATTTTTATAAAAATTTGAGTAAAATATAAACTGTTTTAAAAAAAAAAATTTTAATTTTGTAATTAATATAATAATAATTGCAATGTACACCTTTTTAAAAGTCATACAAAAACTCACCCAAACTTGAAATTATATTCCCAACACCCACAAAAATTTTTTTAAAACTTTGAACTGGTCACTTGGACTTATCTCCTTTAACGTATGTTAAATACTAATTTGCGTTCTGTTTGAAATTTGAAAATGAAACCTCGCATTCAATAAAATAACCCAAAATAAATATAAAAATTAACCCTTTATAGACGTTATAGACCATAAAGAATGCAAAATAAAGACTAAAATTGAATCACAGGCACAATCAATCTGTAACTCCAAAAGCTAACTACAAGAATATAGCCCTGCTACTGTAAATATATAAGTTAAGGGTAACAGTAGGTCGTACCTTTCCCTGGTAGTTTTTGGGTCACCCTAGATTGGAGCTAAGATTTCGGGTACTTGCGTTCGCACAATCTGCGCTCTCCGTGGGTCGACTTGCCGACATGCAGAAGAGTTTAAACTTTGTCTTCGGGCACCGACATAGGCAGATAAATCGATGTGACGGGCAGCGTGGCGTGGCTGCGCTGCTGGCTCGGCGACAATGCTGAGATTGCTTTGTAGTTTTAGTCATCTTTTGTATTCCAATAAAGAGCAGTCGCTCAAGGAGAGTTACCCCGGCGGAAGTCGATATATTTCAGATTTGGGTTAGCTTGCTGTAAGGGCACGTAGGGCTCGAAGGTAGTTCCTTTCACCGTATTCCTTAAAGACGTCTAAATGACGTCCTACACCCTCATCCGCGAAGGCGCCACATCACGGAACACCCGCCGCTGACCAAGAAGACATCTTCACCTGGCGAGCATCGGCCAGGAGACCTCGTGTGATGCAAGCCCCGCCGGCCTGGTTACATAACCCGCCGACTATTGCAAGGCGCCGCCGAACGGTACATCTGCAGTCGTTCAAGAAAAAGCTGTTCACCGGACGTTGACCCCGGCACCACGGCGACATAGACGGTAGCGTGGGTCTCCCGTTATGTCTTACAATAAACGGTAATAAGTTTTCCAGTCCTAAAATTAAACTTTTTTTCTTATAGAACCCTCCCCCTTCGGTGACCACACGCAAATGATATTATTACCAGTATCTATCCATTTATATAAAAACGACATAAATTTCACAATTTATATAAATTCTTACGTAATCACATAAAAAAACCCTTAAAACAAATAAACAAAATTTCAAATTTAACTGTTTAAGAAAGGGCTGCCACCCTAATTTCTAGAGGTTTCCACATACTCCCTCAGCTGTTAAGTGCTAGAGCTGCCAACTTTACTCAATTTTCCAAATTTTCAATCAATTTTCCTAGTTTTACATTTTTACGATTTATGGTTTTTAAACACGCCCGTAGCTCCCATGAACACGTACAAAAAATTTCATCAAAATCGGTCCAGACGTTTACGAGTCTATAGCGGACATACATGGACATTCATTTTTATATATGTATATACGAGGTGTGTTCAAAAAGTAAGGTGACTTTTCAAATTTCGCGGGCAACATATTTTCGATTATCGTTTTTTTTGTTTTGTTATATTGGTACACTCTTCCCTAACATCTGTACCAAGTTTCAATGGAACATCCTCTTTTGTTTGGTTGTGAGAGGCGTAAAGTTACAAGTTG